TAGAGTAAGCATTCTGAAATTCCCTTTCTAGGCACCTTCCGTACATTGTCTAATGGGTATATACACTGACAGGTATGTATCTCCAAGTGTATATGCGCTAAGAGTTTATGTTAATCTCGGTCTTGGGGGTTAAGGGAATATTGGTGTAAGAAATTGTGCGTAGGCCTAAAAACTCTCGTGAAATATGTTGGCTTTAAACCCAACAAGGAAACCAATTCTATTTGCATGGCCTGAAAGTTTAGGCATTAAATAATGGTTTTCAACAATTACGTGACTTATAACGTTTTGAGTCGAAATTCAGTACTGAGATCCCGCAAAGGTGCTACAGTTCTAACTTACAGAGGTAACAATGGTGTAGTGAACAACATATTTGTCACATAAATAGGGTACAACAGACTGGAAATTATGGATGCCCCACAGAGGCTTTCCAGGTGCATTTGTAACTGTGATTGGATGTGTTTGCTCTGTGTCTTGCAGTAAATGGCTAAAAGTCAAGAGTAGATAGTTAGGACGGTTCCTTGAGATTTTTTTTTTCAAGAAATCAAGTACCCTAAGTGGTGGTAGTGGTAATGGTAATAGAAGTGGGGAGTAATGATGGTAGTAGTGGAGGTGGGTGATGGTAGTGGAAGTGGGGAGTAATGATGGTAGTAGTGGAGGTGGGTGATGGTAGTGGAAGTGGGGAGTAATGATGGTAGTAGTGGAGGTGGGTGATGGTAGTGGAAGTGGGGAGTAATGATGGAAGTAGTGGAGGTGGGTGATGGTAGTGGAAGTAGTGGAGGTGGGTGATGGTAGTGGAAGTGGGGAGTAATAAATGGTAGTAGTGGTGGGTGATGGTGGTAATAATGATGGTAGTGGTGCGTAGTGGTGACGGGGGGGGGTGACAGGGATGGGGAGTGGTAATATGGGTGGTGAGAGAGGTGATGTAGGTGGTGGAAGTGGTTGTACTGGTGGTGGGGAGTGACTGCGGGTGGTGGGAAAGGATTATTGCAAGTGGTGGTAGATTACGACCTCAACACCCAACATAATTTCTATTTCGTCCTTAAAAATGCAGGATACAAATGATTACAGGAAAATGTAATTAAATCCGAAAGCTATTAAATGTTACGGAAAAAAATCAACAGTCGGAAATGCCAGAACAGTCGACTTGCTGACCCCCAAAAACAGGTCGTATTCACCTTAAACACTTAGGAAGATCAGTAATACCGACTGTCAGAAGTTAAAAACTTATCCTAGATTACCTCTAAGGAATACTACCACCCATCTCATGCCATCCTCAACAGTCTACTATCTCCCATGTTCCTGTTTACTACTAGGTAAACAGGGGCATCAAGAATAGATAGACTTTCCCTTTCATCTCACAAATGACGAAGGTGGGTTTGGTTCCAGCACGAGCGGAAACATTTTAACACCTGTTGGCCATCTTCACCTAATAAAAACCTGGATGTTAACCAACTAGTGTGGGTTGTATCCCAAGGGTTGGGCTCTTAAAATGGGCCGAAATAGGATACGACAACAGTTCCAAAAGTGTAAATTCACTGTTATGAAAAATGCATTCCGATTTGCTCAGAAATCAACACTAGGCGCGACTACTAAGCTACGAGCCAAATCACTGGTCAGGAAGTACGTCTCTACATACAACAACAAGTGACATTGATCTACTGACTCCAAAGAGATGTATATTTTCTTTCAAATGTCAATGCCATAATGTCTTAAAGTAACACAATAAAAGTCTAACGCTGTGTTGTATGGCAGGTAATGCCGATACACAAATAACCCGCACATAAAAGAGAAGCTTACGACGACGTTTCGGTCCGACTTGGACCATTTACAAAGTCACACTAACCAGAGTGGAGCAGGACGGCTATATATAGGCAGGAAGAGGTGGTGGTAGTAGTAGTAGTAGTAGTAGTACAAGAATGTATATAATACCGACAAGATGAAATTAAGACACATGCGCAACACCTGGGCATCCCTATCGTAGACGTTTCGCCATCCAGCCTGCCACTGGATTTCGAAACGTCCACAATGCCGATATGTATGGTAGATAAACACTGTTATGAAGGAAGTTCACCTCGGTAGAACTGTATCAAAACATACGAGAAGTAAAGAGATGTGACATAATATGCAAGTGAGCGGTGAAGTGAATGAGGTCAGGATTGTGTGGTATAACACACTGACAAGTTGAAGATAAAGACACGTGTGCAACAGCTGGGTATCTTTACTGATGGAACGCTTCGCCTACACAGTAGGCTTTTTTCAGATACAGAGGCCGCAGGTGTAATAGAGAGATAAAGATCATTTAATCACTCCATCAACCTTGGCTGGTGGAAATGATGATCATTATCATAAAATTTTTCGCTTTACTCCTCTCCTTGTCTGTGTATAATGTCTCCTCGCATTACTGCTTTTATGATTTGCTAAAGCTCTACCCAGAGCGAAAATAAAGGGTTGGAGGAGGGGGGGGGATGGGATGGGAGGGGATGGGATGGGATGGGATGGGATGGGGATGGGATGAGAGGGGAGGGTGAGGGTGAGGGGGGTGAAAGATGATTTTTAAGGAGTAAAGAGCTTTTGTGTGTGTGTGTGTGTGTGTGTTGTGTGTGTTGTGTGTGTGTGTGTGTGTGTGTGTGTGTGTGTGGTGTGTGTGTTGTGTCTTTGTGTACTCACCGAGTTGTGGTTGAAGGGGTCGAATCATGGCTCCTGTCCCCGCCTCTTCACTGGTCACTACTAGGTCCACTCTCTCCCTGCTCCAAGAACTTTATCGAACCTCTTAAAGCTATGTATGGATCCTGTCCCAGGACCGAACGTTTTCTGATAAATATGTCATAGTGTTTGCTTACGTGTCTTTCTAAACCAACTTGTCGGTATTTATTACCAAGGTTTATACCATGGATCCTGCCTCCCCTACATCACTCTCCAGATTGTTCCACTTCCTGACAACCCTATGACTGAAGAAATACTTCCTAACATCCTTGTGACTCACCTAGGTTTTCAACTTCCAGTTGTGACTCCTTCTTGCTGTGTTCCATCTCTGAAACATTCTGTCCCTATCCACCTTGTCAATTCCTCTCAGTATTTTATATGTTGTTATCATGTCCTCCCTATACCTCCTGTCCTCTAGTGTCGTCAGGCTGATTTTCCTTAACCCCCTCCCCTAGTCCCTTAGCTCCGGGACTAGTCTTGTTGTAAACCCTTGCACTTTCTCAAAATTCTGTCTGACCAGGTGTATGTTCCATATTAGTGCTTCATACTCCAATATGGGCCTGATGTACACAGTGTACAGTGTCTTTAATGATTCCTTACTAAGACGTCGAAATGCTATTCTTAGGTTTCCCAGGCTCCCATATGCTGCAGCAGTTATCTGGCTAATGTGCGCCTCAGGAGATGTGCTCGGTATGATGCTCACCCCAAGATCCTTTTCCTTGAGTGAGTTTTGAAGCCTATGACTTCTAGGCTGTACTTTTTCTTTGTCCTTCCCAAAACTTCATGACTTTACACTTGCTGGGGTTAAACTCCGGGAGCCATTTATGGGACCAGGCTTGCAGCCTGTCCAGATCTCCTTGTAGGCTGACCTGATCCTTGTCCATTGCTTCACATCGTCTGCAAGCAGGAACACATTCTTCACATATACTAGAAACAGCACCGACCTAGGAATGACCCCTTGTGGAACCCCACTGGACACATGCACCCACTTTGACACCGTATCACGTACTAACACGTTATTTCCTTCTTGCCAGGTATTCCCTGATTCATTGCAGTGCTCTCCCTGCTATTTCTGTCTGCTCCTGTAGCTTTTCAATCGGTCTCTTGTGTGGTACTGTATCGAAAGCCTTCTTACCGTCGCTCTCTCTCTCTCTCTCTCTCTCTCTCTCTCTCTCTCTCTCTCTCTCTCTCTCTCTCTCTCTCTCTCTCTCTCTCTCTCTCTCTCTCTCTCTCTCTCTCTCTCTCTCCAGTTTTCTGTTACGCTATCGTATAACTCCAGTAGGTTTGTGATGCAAGATTTCCCTTCCCTGAAGCCCTGCTGGTTATCATGTATGATTCCGTTCCTTTCTAGATGCTCCACCACTCTTCTCCTGATAATCTTCTCCATAACTTTACATGTGTGTGTGCGTGTGTGTGGGAGTGAGAGAGAGAGAGAGAGAGAGAGAGAGAAAGAGAGAGAGAGAGAGAGAGAGAGAGAGAGAGAGAGAGAGAGAGAGAGAGAGAGAGAGAGAGAGAGAGAGAGAGAGAGAGAGAGAGAGTGGAGACAATTTTTTTTCACTTATAATGGGATTCAGAAAAAAAGTAAGTTTTCTCGGCACCAAGCATCTCTTTACTATACAAATCTATCATTACTGAGATGAGAAGCCAAGTATTGAAGGAACACACTGACAGACTCTTCAAATATCTGAGATGTATCAAAACATTCAGCGAACTTTACGAGGTTCATTGAGGTGGTTCCTTGAGGCTAGACAATGGTTATAGATCCAAGGAACCAGATCTCTCCTCCCCCTCCTCTGATCAGACCTGATTGCACCTCCACCCCTTTCATTTCTCCTGGCGATGTATGACCCTTACGGGTTCGATCCCCAGCATGGGTGGAAACATTGGGAGTGTTACCTTACACCTTACCCGTTCAACTAGCAAGCAAGTAAGTACCTGGGTGTTAGTCGACTGGTGTGGGTCGCATCCTGGGGGACAAGACTGAGAATCCCAATGGAAATAAGGCAGTCAGTCTCTCGATGACACACTGCCTTTCTTGGGTTATCCTGGATGGGTGACCCTCCAGGGTTAAAAATCCGATCAAAATCTTATCTTAGTACTTGAGTAATTTTTTTTTATCATTGGGAAGAGCTATGCCCTGTAAGGTTCATGCATTTGTAGTACCTGGAGAATAACAGGTCATAAAATTTGACTCAAGAGAAGAGTACCTCTAATAATGTTGGTAAAGAGCCCTTCGCTAGCATTATTGCACCCCATTTGAAGGGAGCAAAAACTATAACAACTAGGAAAGGACTCACCTTTATTTTCGATAAATTGATAGACGGCCCTGAAGCCTTTCTCCTCAATGGTGTCGTCTGAGGTGAACCTGAGCCACAAGTGCCTGTCCTTGGAGGTGATAATGGGAGGAAAGACGCTGCCGCAGAAGGTGCCCTTGAGATCGGAGTAGCCATGAGCGCCGTCCCGCACCTCCAGAAAGTCGAACTGGCACTTTTCCGATGGCTCTAGGTTGAAGTAGTCCCGGAAGTCTATTCGTATGACGTAGCCATACTCAGCTGCCAAGGAAGATTACTCAGTGCCTTTGGCAATATAAATACAAAACACATATAGGAACAACTAGCTAAAACTAATGAAAAATAAAAATTAATGAATGCATAAAACATACAAAGAAATAGATAATGTCACATTGTTAAAATACCTCGCGCCATTTATAATCTCCATTAAACTGGGAGTGTGTAAAGACTTTGCTGGAAGTTCTGTGAGGTCCCTACAGACACCTTGGTAATTCTAACCATGATGTAAGAGAAAAGACCAAAATTGCAGGAAAACAGTTAAAATATATTCCACAGTCAACTGCATGCCACAAGTCACACAGAGAGTGACAGGAGAACCTGCTCTGATTAAAACGTGTGTCTTCTATCCTCGGTCTAAAAAGAACTGTCTCAGTGAAACGATTCCTGCTGAAAGAGGGCCAAATATCCACATTCTGCCAGACACTAACTCGCTCAACTGTAGGACCCACCGGGCCTTTCATTTCCCATGGATATAGCGATGTATGTGGCCTAGGATATATATATATATGTGGCCAATGTCTGCTATGAAGCAAAAGCTGCCACAGGTAGAGGTGAGAGTGTAAGTTTGCGAGTACACCAGATAAAACCTGCACATTTAGATCTCCCCTCATGCAGTAGTGTGCATATTTCTTGGGACAGTGATAAAATAAGACATTTGGAGAATTAATGTTTATTTAAAAAATACACGGCAATGATATGACAGATAACTGGTCAACAAGAGATATGACTAACCTTTGCTTTTATAAACATTGTTACATGATTTGGCATGCAATCTACCAATGTTTAACATATTTTGGCAAGTTCTTCGTCGTGGTACCAAGTCCCAATAGCAGCAGTTAGCGTCTCCACAGTTGAACAGTCCGGTTTCGCGATCCTGCGTTTAGTTATTGCCCATAGATTCTCAATTGGGTTGAGATCATTAGAGTTTCCAGGCCAGTTTAGAAAGCTTAGCTCACTCTCTTCAAAGAATGCCAACATTTTTCCGGAAGTGTGGCGTGGAGCAAGATCCTGCTGGAAAATGCCTTCTCCATCAGGAAAGTCCCTGCCCACAATGGGAAGCAAATGAGTTGCCAGGATTGCCTTGTATTTGTCAGTGTTTATAGTTCCTTCAACAATAACAAGCTGTCCAGGGCCTTAGTAGTGAAACTACGTCAAAACATCTTAGGTGGGTGTTTTGGTGATTGCTCAATTGTCCATTCCGAAGACGTTCACTACCAGCTCACTACCACTGATCTCTACCTATGTACTTCAAAATGCGCCTCCTCTGAATATATAACTTTTCTCCATTCATCTGTTGTCCATCCCTTATGATCGAGTGTCCACCGCAGCCAATTTTTCTTCACAGCAGTAGTCAATAATTGTTTCTTTAGTGGTTTTTGTCAATTTTGTCAACTTCAAAGAGTCTTTGCCGACCAGTTGAAGAATCAGTATTTATTCCAGTTAAAGGCAAATCTCTAAATCTTGTGCTTTATTTTCCACCCCGGGCATCTTCTATCCACAATGTTTTCAACGACCAACATTATTTTGCAACTTCATTTGGGAAATCCTGAATTTTAAAATAAATTTTTTAAAGGGAGAAACAAAAACTTGAAATTATGAGGTAAATGTTTAATATATATAAAATTTTATTTTCGGGGGGTTTTTTTTGGGAACCCCCTCCCCAGACAGGTGAATTAATGTTTATGTTAAATTTAATATATAATATATTATTTTTTAAATTTTTTTTTTTTGGGTAAAAACTGCGGATCTGGCGAAAGAACGCCCTGCCTTAAATAAATTTTGTTATAATATTAAATATTTAATATATATTTTTATTTTTTATATTAAATTTTATTAAAAAATTTAAAATATATTTATTTATAAAATAAATTGTTCTTTTTTATAATAAGGTTAGGTAAGTTTTCTAAGTTCCTTTTGGGTTGCAAAATTATAAATTTTTACATCAACATTAATGAAAAAAATATATCTTTAAAACGTATAAGAAAAAAATTTTAGAAAAGACTTCTTTTTTAAATGAGTTCTTGCTAATTGACCAGTTTTACATATTGGGCCGACATATATATATATATATATATATAAAATATATATATATATATATATATATATATTATATATATAATAAATAATATATATATATATGTATATATATATATTTTTATATTTATATATAATATATTTATATATATATATAAATATATATATCATAAATATATATTTATATATATATATATATATATATATTTTAATATATAATACACATACATGTATATATAGGGGTTTGGGTATTTTTGTTTAATAAATGCATGAAAGAGGGGAAGGTAGCCTAGGGACTGGCAGAGAGATGTATAGTTCCCTTTATATAAAGGGAAAGGGGACAAAAGAGATTGTAAAAATTACAGGGGAATAATTTTAACTGAGTATACCAGGAAAAGTGTGTGGTAGGGTTTTTTATTGAAAGAATTAGAGGTAAGACAGAATGGGGAATTGCGGATGAGCAAGGAGGTTTCAGAGTGGGTAGGGGATGTGTAGATCAAGTGTTTACATTGAAGTATATAACGTGAACAGTATTTAGATAAAGTAGGGAAGTTTTTATTGCATTTATGGATTTAAAAAAGGCATATGATAGAGTGGATAGGGAGCAATGTGGCAGATGTTGCAACTGTATGGAATAGGTGGAATTTTACTAAATGCTGTAAAGAGTTTTATGAGGATAGTGAGGCTCAGGTTAGGGTGTGTAGAAGAGGGGGAGACTACTTCCCGGTAAAAGTAGGTCTTAGACAGGGAGTGTAATGCCCACCATGGTTTGTTTAATATATTTTTTAGATGGAGTTGTAAAAGAAATAAATGTTTAGGGTGTTCGGGAGAGGGTGGGATTAAATATGGGGAATCAAATACAAAATAGAATTGACACAGTTTTTTTTGCTGATGATACTGTGCTTATGGAGATTCTAAATAAAAATTACAAAGGTTAGTGGATGAGTTTGGGAGTGTGTATAAAGGTAGAAAGTTGAAAGTGAACATAGAAAAAAAAAGAGTAAGGAGATGAGGGTATCAAATGATTTAGATAAAAAAAATTTGGATAATCAAATGGGGAGGAGGAGTATGGAAGAAGTGAATGTTTTTCAGATACTTGGGAGTTACGTGCGGCGGATGGATTTATGAAGGATGAGGTTAATCATAGAATTGAGGGGGGAAAAAAGGTGAGTGGTGCGTTGAGGTATATGTGGAGACAAAAAACGTTATCTATGGAGGCAAAGAAGGGAATTTATGAAAGTATAGTAGTACCAACACTCTTATATGGGTGTGAAGCTTGGGTTGTGAATGCAGCAGCGAGGAGGCGGTTGGAGGCAGTGGAGATGCCCTGTTTAAGGGCAATGTGTGGTGTAAATATTATGCAGAAAATTCGAAGTGTGGAAATTAGGAGAAGGTGTGGAGTTAATAAAAGTATTAGTCAGAGGGCTGAAGAGGGGTTTTTGAAGTGGTTTGGTCATTTAGAGAGAATGGATCAAAGTAGAATGACATGGAGAGCATTTAAATCTGTAGGGGAAGGAAGTCGGGGTAGGTGTCGTCCTCGAAAAGGTTGGAAGGAAGGGGTAAGGGATGTTTTGTGGGCGAGAGGCTTGGACTTCCAGCAGGAGTGCATGAGCGTGTTTGATAGGAGTGAATGGAGACGAATGGTATTTGGGACCTGCGATCTTTTGAGTGTGAGCAGGGAAAAAAATCTAGTGAAGGGATTCGGGGAAACCGGTTATTTTTAATATACCCGACTTGAGTCCGGGAAATGGGAAGTAAAATGCCTGCACTTAAAGAGGGGTTCGGGATATTAGCATTGGAGGGATATGTTGTGTATCTTATACGTATATGCTTCCCAAACTGTTGTTTGTGTTTTTGAGCGCCTCTGCAAAACAGCGATTAGTGTGAGTGTGGTGAAAGTGTTGAATGATGATGAAAAGTTTTCTTTATGGGATTTTTTTTCTCTTTGGGTTTCCCTTTCCTAGGTGGGAGACGGCCAAATTGTTAAATATATAAAATAAAATATATAAATAAATATATATATATATATATATATATATATATATATTATAATATAAATATAATATATATATATTTATGAAAAATAAAAATTAAAATTTTTACTTTAATATTTTTTAATATAATAATTTTACTATAAAATTAACATATAATTTTTTGTATCTGTTTTGAAAAATGACAAAGTTTTGCAAAAAGGCGCTTTAAAATTTAAATGTTCGGGGTTAGGAAATGGACTTTAAATAAAAAAACCTGGTGTCTCCAAGTGAAAAAGGAATCACATTCAACAATAATAAGTTGGTTCGTGTCTTTTCTTGGAGAGGGCCAAGATACAAAATTTTAAGGTATGCAACTGTAACCACATAACGGAACAAAGTTAACGAAATGTAAGACCCAAATATAAAAAGAAACCACTACAGGTAAACAATAGAACGCAATAAAAAAGGGAATTAAAGGAAAGGATCACCCGCCTTTTAGAGCGTGACAGATGGATCTTGTCAGAAAACCCCCCTGATAATTAACAAGATTAAAACCTTAAATTGGTATCTACTAAATGAGAGAACATATTGTTTCGGAAAAAAATGAATTAAAAAAGGGGTGTCAGTGTCCCACTGCCCCCCTTTTTTAAAAAAGGTTAAATTATTTAAAAAAGGAGGCAATTTGTTTTGGGCAATTATATAAACCGCTGGATTTTTTAAACTGTTGCGTTATATAAATTGCATCATTTAGCTGCACAAGTGTGGTTTAGTGAATTGTATTATTTAGCTACACAATCATGGTTTTATAAATTGTATTCAGCTACACAGTTATGGTTTTATAAACTGTATTATTTAAATGCAATAGTAGTATGGTTTTGGTTTAATTAGTATTGAGTATGTTTACTTCTGTATATGATGGGGAGAAGAGGTTGGTTTAGCCCACCCTGACTCTGGCTGCCCAGGTGAAAGTAGTGT